AAGTGATCTCCTCAGCTCCATTATTAATGTTATAGGCAGTCATTTCTCCTCCCCTTTAAAAAAGCAGCCATAGGACTAACCATGATCCCTGGCCCTGGTTTCAATTACGCCGAGATTGAATCAAAACAGACTGCTGTGCCGTAAATATGAGGGGGGCCCTCTCTGTAAATCGTAAAATTGAATTCTAAAATTTCATGTTAAGAGCCTTGTCTTTGCATAATGGATTGTGCTGCCATCCATCACGGTGACACTTACAAGTCACAGCTGAAAAAGTACTTTATTAGATTTTTATTTTTTTTTAACAATTTTGATTTATTCTGGTTACACTGTCTGTATAACAGACTGAGCAAAATTTCATGCCGGTCCCTACGCTCAATAAAGCAACTACAGATATATTAGAGAAATCCCTCACTGTTCCTAAGTTACGGCCAAATGGTGTCTTAGGGACTGCTCTCAGTCATCTGTGTCTTCTAAACCTGAATCAAGCACTGGGCTCTTAATGACCTTCATCTCATCAGCTCTTGCCTGGTGTTGTTTAGCATTGTTGGCCCACTTTCACTGTGGCTCTGATCAATAGCTGTGATGACAAAGATATGATGAGCTGCATGACTCCCTCTGGTCACCGCTGCTTAATGATTTTTCCAAGTGCCAATCTTCAGTTGAAAGGGAAAAAAATAAAATAAAATCAAATCAAGATCTCAGAGGAAACAAACGTGGCATTTCTCATGATGCCTAATTAGTCTTGTTCCTCTCCCCCTGGGCTTATGAAAAACAGGATGTTTTTCAGCTGCAGAGTCCTCATGGCACTGCTCATGTTTGGATGCCACACCAAGCAGGTCCCACCACTGTTGTCCCTTCAAATGGGGCATGTTTCAGTATCAGCTCCAGCTGCTGAAGACTTGAGCGGTTGCTCCTCACTTAGAGATGTAGCCTCTGCTCCAAAGAATTGAATTTTCTTCTCTGAGCTGTGAGATTTGGTCAGGATCCTTCTCACCACTCTTTGGACTAGAGACCAGACTAAAGACCAGAATTGAAAGTAAGTGAAGTTACATTTTTCTATTTTGATGAGGAACTTCTTTGGTGAGGGCTGAGTCCTCTTTTTTGGGAATCAAGAAAGAAAATTACTTCTCAAAATCAAACCTTAAAGTACGTGAGACTTAAATCACAGTGACATTTTCCCCAAAGAGATGGTCTGCCATGCCTTCGAATAGGCCTTTGAAACAGCATCCAGAGCAATTGTTGACATGCTGGAGGGAAGGGATGCCATCCACAGGGACCTTGACAAGCCTGAGTGGTGGACCAGTGTGAACCTCACGAAGTTCACCTGGGGCAATCCCAAGCACACATACAGGCTGGGCAGAGAATGGATGGAGTGTAGCCCTAGGGAGAAAAACTTGGGGGTGTTGTTGGGTGAGAAGCTCAACCCATCAGTGTGCACTCAGCTCAGAAAGCCAAACGTGTCCTGGGCTGCAGCAGGGCCAGGGAGGAGATTCTGCCCCCCTGTTCTGCCCTAACCAGATTCCACCTGGAGTGCTGCATCCAGCTCTGAGGACCCCAACACAAGAAAGATGTTGAGCTGTTGGAGCAAGTCCAGAGGAGGCCACTAAGATGCTCAGAGGGCTGGAGCATCTCTGCTAT